CCCCGTCCGCACGGCTCGGGGTCATCCCTGCCTCCCAGTGCTCCCAGCCCATGGCCTCCACAATGCTCTGGGGCAAGGGGGGATGGGGGGGGCCCTAATGCCCCCCCACCAGGGCCTGGACTCCCTGCCGAGATGGGCCCAGACTTGGGGGGGCTGGAGCCTGCCCCTGAGCTGCGCGGCTGCACTGAGTGGCCGGTTGACCCCTGGGGAAGGCGCGGGAGTGGGGGGAGGCACTGACCAGCTGCCCCCTCCCTGTATCCACCCGCCTGCTCCTCTCCGTGCACCTCTGTCGCAGGTCCAGGCGGGCAGCGCCACTGTGCCCCATGCGATGCCCTTCCCCGGGGACCCGCCTGCCCCCTTCTCCCTTGCGCCCACGCCCCGTCACCCCGATGCGGTGGGAGCATGTTGGCCTGGCGGTTACGTACCCTCTTCCCCTTCTTGGCCTCTGCATACTCCATGTCCTGATCCTGCGCCGCTCCCGTCCCGGCAAAGGCAGTATTTCCCTCTGCCTTCAGCTCCTTTGTTATTTTCCTGTGTCGGAAACTCCACCAGCCACCGCCCTGATGCGAGTTCCTGCCCCTCCTGGGAGCGATAAGTGGATGGGCCGGGGCCGGGCCACCCACCGCTGCCCAGCTCCTGGCCCTGTTCCGTCTCCGCGCCGCGGCTGCCAGCATGGTGCCCTCCTCCAACTTGTGTGTGTCTGTCTCATGCGCGAGCCCCGTTGGCACCGGGCAGGGCTTTGCTTGCCTTGTTGAACCATCGCACCTCAGGGCTCACGGCCCAAGAGGATGCTCCCGCGCAGCGGGTCTGCCAGGGCCACCTTGAAAGGCAAGGCCTCCTGACCCCCATCCCACCACCCCCTCGTCTGCAGCCCCTCGTGGCGCTCTCTGGTCCCCCGTGCGCTCGCATGCTGGAGCAAAGGCCTGGCACGGAGGCTACGCCAGAGCTCGTGCCAATGCTGGGAGCTGCGGGTCCGAGCAGCACGGAGCTGGGTGCCTGCCTGAGCCACGGGGCACGCTGGGCTGCACTGAGCTCCGGGCTGAGGCAGCTCCGTCTCTCTGGGAGCAGGTCCCTGGGGACCTGGTCTTGGGGGAGCCCAGAGCAGGGCAGGGGCCTCACACCAGGCTGGGAGGAGAAATCCCTGGCCTGCTCCGGCCATGGCTGCAGCTGCCTGGAGACTTCCTCTTCCCCCTGGCTCCCAGCACGGCCGCGTCCCCCTCCAGCCTTGGTGGTGAGTGCTGGGCGGGAGGGACAGATGCAGGTCCCGATGATGCTCAGGGGAGCTTATTAATCCTGGGAGCCAGGAGCCTCCCGGGGCTGCCAAACACCATCCTTTTCTCCGAGAGAGACGGGTGTGAAGGTCACTCGTTACCAGGCAGGGCTGGGGACAGCTGTCGAAGATCCACCCCCTCTCCGTGCATCCAGTGTCACGTCTGGTGCCCAACACATGAAAGCAGACCCAAAGCACCCTCTCCTCCTGGGCGCCCCCGGTGCCACCCCCCGACACGTCCATCAGGCGGGGTGGGGCGGTTGCGGGGGGCAGCAAGGACGAGGCCTGCCCGCGGGGTTTATTGAAATGACTTTAATATCTCATGTTGCAGCAAAATTAAAAATATACAAAAAGTTTGTGGTATACAAAAAAGTCTCAGTACAGAACCTCGGGCTCCTCCCGCCCGGCCCGGCCCATCCTGCCCTGCCCTGCCCCGCCGCACCGCGCCGGCCGGAAGGAAGAAGACGGTGGCACACACAGTATTTACAGTCCAGGGCCGTGACCGCAGGGCGTCCAGATCCCGGCAGGAGGGCGTGGGGAGGAGACGTCTCCCAGTGACCTGCTCAAGGCAAGCTGAAGGGGCCCGTGGGGCCGCACGGCATGCAGCTCGGACCCCGGGAGTCAGCAGCCAGCGCCCCCACGCAGCTCCCCGCCGCCAGCGCTTTCGAGACGGAGAGAGCTGCCCAGGCCCTGGCCCAGCTCCCCGAGTGCTGGGGGCAGCGTGGCCTCAGCCCCGCTCGCAGCCCCGCGGCACCGTCAGAACCTGGAGCTTGGACTGGACCCGAACGGCCCGACCCCGCCGAGCCACGGGCCGAACTTGAGCCTGAGCTGGGGCCTGGATTTGGCTGGGGCCCCTTCATCTGGGCTCTGGATACTCCCCTTCCCCCTCAGGGTCCAGCTCGCCTCTCCTTACCCCGGGGGCAACGCGGTGGCACGGATGGGGATCCCCATGGCTGCCTTTTCGCCCTGGGGGGTGGTCCCCAGCCCTCTCGAGAGTTCAGCGACGGCCACACAGGATGCACGTGTCCCATCCCGGCGGGGCTCGGATCCACAGAGCAGGGCACTGCTTCGTCCGCAGAGACCCGCCTGGCTCCCTTGGACCTCATCTCTCCTGTCCTGGCGCCTTGAGAGGCAGACGGACGTGAGCATGGGAGGGAATCACCTGCCAGGGGAGGAGAGAGGAGCTGGGGCAGCTCGGCTTGTCTGCCCCGTCCTGGGTCTGCCCCCCCACCGGCATCCAGCCGCTGACTAGCTTTAAGATTATTGCAGGTGCGATGAGATTCCCCTCTCCCGGAGCAGCCGGGAGGCTGAGAATACCGTGGCTAGAGTGCATAGAAGATTGGCCCTTGGATCAGCGGGTGCCCGTCCCCACGCTTCCCCGAGAAGACTCGTCTGTGGCATCACGCGCCCGTGGCTCGGGACGCAGACAGACCTGCCCATCCCTCCCAAAGCATCAGCAACCCCTCGAGGTCATGGCTGAGCCCGGGCCGGATCCCCCCTGGCCGTGCCTCGGCCTGCCTGAGACCATCATGCCCTCTGCAACAGCCATATAGCAGCTCTGTTCAGGGGGGTCCTTGTCTCTGGCAAACCGAGGGGTATCCCTGGGAAGCTGTGACCCATCCTCTGCCCCCCTGTGCCAGCCAGAAGCTGGGAAGGCCGGAGAGCTCAGGTCACGTGCACCGAACCGGGTCGCATCACAGAGCGCCGATGAACACGCGTGCACCTGCACACACACGCACGCATGCACATGCACACTCCCGCACAGAGCAGACACGCCCTGCACTCGTCCACACGCACCCAGCACAAGCCCAGGGCAGCCCTGGAGCCCATCCGCAGCAACCTTGCTGTCCCACCGGTGCAGCAACACCGCCCTGACAGCCCTCTGGGACATCCCCTCCATCTCAGCGAGTGACCGCAGGCCCCGCTGGCCTCGCGACGTAGCACCTGGAGGCTCTGAGTCGCTGGCTGCTGCCGACACCCTCCGTCCACACTGCCACCACCTGCACCTCCAACGGAGCAGCCCCGGCTGCCTGCACAGCCCAGCGTGTCCTGGGACCTGCCCCATCCATGCCCCAGCTGGCACGGAGCTTTTGGCACTGCAATTCCTTCCCGCCTGGCTCTGAATTTGCTCCAGGGCCGGCTGCCTGAACCCAGGCGATGGGGCAGGGAGGCTGCCCCAGGGGAAGAGAGGGAGGAGGCGTGTTGGGGGGAAGCACTGGGGCAATGCGCAGTTTTCTCAGTCCTTTCCTTTCTCCGGAGCCTGGGAACCCAGGGCAGGGCAGGGCAGGGCAGGGCGGGCCGGGAGCCCGCGCCTGTGACACGCCAACAGCACGAAGCCGAGGCGTGAAGTGAGGACGCGGCTCAGCCCTTGGCCTAGCACCGAGCCCTGCAGATGGGAAAAGCAGGACTTTGCAACTGGGAGCCATTTACAGGGCTAGAAAACCAACATGGTCTTCTCAGTGCTGCTCCTGGGGGCAGGTCGAAGGCAGGGCAGGGGGCACGCGGGGGGACAACATCTCATTAGCACCGTTTGGGACTCGCCAAGCCCTTTACCCCTGTTAAATCAGCCCTTGCACCCTTGCCAAGCAGAGACAACCCCATGCCCAAAGGCCCAGTGACTCGATGCAGGGACTGAGAAGCCCAGCCACAAACGGACCCGACCTCCCAACTCCCAGGCCCAGACCCCAGGCTCCAGACACGGCTCCTTCCCCAGCAGCTCACCAGATGCCAGCTGCCACTTTACTCCAGAGCTAAATGTGCTTTCCTGGGGCAAGAAAGCCATCGAAGGACAAACACAACCTGCACCCTGCAGAGATCCTGCGGCATGGCGAATCCGGGGTTACTAGAGCTGAGGACTCCAGAGCCACCAGCTCCAGCCAGGCAGGCTCCAGCGCTGCCAGTACGGAGCCCCCAACCTTGCAAACCAGCCGCCCGAACGAGAGGTTAAAGCCTGGGTCGTGCAGCTCCGTGCAGGCTGTCAGCAGCGGGGACACACTGTCCGGCATGCCCTCGCTGTCTGACCCTGACCCTGGCCCTGCCGGCCCCAGGTGCTAAGAGTCGGTGACAGAAAAGCCTCCTCCCCCCACCAGCTCCTGGCCTGTCATCCATCGCTTCCCCAACTCCCCAGCCACAGTGGGCCACCAGCTGCACGCTGCCTGCCATCAGGTAGGCCTCAGATGGCATCAGTGACAATCTGCCAGAGAAAATGCAAATGTTCTGCTAATTGCTGTAATGATGCAGGCTGCAGCCGGCGCAGGGGGCCAGCACACAGCCTGCACGTGGTGCGACGTGGAAGGCATGCGGGGTGACGGGGCCGGCTGGGCGTGGGGGAGCCATGCAGGCGCGATGCTAGCGGGGCTGATTTTGCTCTCGTTTCTACTCCAGTAAATGCAGGGCCGGCGAGCGCGGATTTGCACTGCTGAGATGAGATCCCGGCCTGGACTGGTCTCCAGGAGCCTTGGCACAGTGAGAGCAGCCAGCGCCGGGCAGAGCCCGGATCCCCGCAGACAGGCTGCGAGGTCCCACCAGGGCATGGGGAGGCAGATGCAGGGTGTGAACATGCTGCAGAGATGTGACACGCTCACGGTGGGAGCACGGACCAGGCTACAGGGGCACGCCGGGTGACCGCACCACGCAGCGACTGCAGGCATCACCCCACCCAGCACACGCTACCCAGGCTGTGTAGTGCCAGGGGCCAAGCCCAGCCTGATTTACACCCCACGGGATACTGCTCTCTGCAGTGAGCTGGCAGCACTGGAGAAGGGAAACTCATCTAGGGAACGGTGTGCAATGGAAATGCGTAGGTGTGTGGGGAGCGCGCTAGCCCCCGTGACCCCTGCCAGGCAAACCCTGCTCCAAGGAGAGCACCCTGGGATGGTGCCCGTGGTCCCTCAGGGGACCACGTCCTTCCAGCACTGCAGCGTGCAGGCGGGCAGGTGCACTCAGCGCCTGGTGCTCCATACGCCCAGCGCCTAGGAAAGCTCCCGTGCAGGGGGCCGGGCAGAGAGCCTGAAGCCAGACAGGGACCCTGGTGACAGGGGCCGGCTGGCAGCAAAGCCAGCGCGCATGCCTGCAGGAGTCTCCCTGGGCCGGGCCCGAGCGCAGGTCGAGCAAGGACCCTGGCCACATACAACCCTGCTCTTAGCATGGAGGGAGGTCTCTTTGCCATGAGGGAAGTGGCCACCCCTGCAACACGGAGCCGGGAGCCTGCCCGGAGCTGCTGACCTCGCTCGCCTGGCACAACAGGGCTCCAGTCTTTCCAATCGAGCCGTGCCCGCTCCGCCCAGCAGCCGCAGCTGAGGTAGATCGTTTTACATCATACACACGCACACCGCTCACGCCAAGCAGATGTTGCACCACAGCCGGGCAGGGGCGCCGGGCACCGGGACAGGCCGTGGCACAACACAGCCTGGGGACCCAGCATCTCCCACACGGCTCCTTCCCCTCCATCCCCTGCAGGACAGGGGGAAGGACGGGGAAAGCCAGGCTAGGCCTGGCCCTGCTGGGCCGGGGAGGAGGGGGGAGCACGGCTCTGCTGTAGACACAGCTGGCGTGCGCCCTCCCTGCCCAGCCCCTTTCCAGGGTGGCCCCGTCTGGGGACAGGAGACGCACCCTGCTCGCACGTGTGCCCCTCACCTTCCAGCAGGTTAAACCCCAAGGGCAGCACACACCTGGGCACTCCAGTCCTCCCCCATCCCCACTCAAGACCCTGGCAGCCGGGGCCTCGGCAGGGGCCCTGCCCAGCCTGCAACATGGAGGTGCAGGGCACCAGGGAAGAGCCGCACGGGTGCGAGGTGGGGCAGGCAGACACACCGCCCTCAGCTGGTCTCTCCCCAGCCTCCCCCTTGTATCCCCCACCTTGCACCTGGGCTTGGCCCCAGTTGGCTGCGGGTGCTGCCTGGGTGGCCTCTGGATCCTAATACGTACTCCTTGGGTTCCCCGCTACCCGCTCCATGGCTGCGACCCTGCCGCAGGTGCCATGGGGCACTCCGACCCCTGGTGCTCGTGCCTGCCCATGGGAATGGTGCACCCAGCCCTTGTGCCACCCAGGCCGGCCCTTGCTAAACAACAAGAATCACCTGGGCACGAGCAGCAGGGTCGGAGTCTGGCACTGGAGGTGTGGCTGTGCCAGCCCACACCCTGCGCTGTGTGTGTGGCCACGTGCTCCTGCTAACCAGGAGGGCTGGCCCTCCATGCTCACACCCACGTGGGCACCCACTCCCTTCCCAGCCAGCTGGTGAGCGAAGGCAAAGACCTCCCTCTCCCCCCACGACTAGCAAAATGGCAGATTTTCTAGAGGCAGAAAACTGCAAGCAGGGGATGGCAGGCAGGAGCTGCCGGGTGCCCTGGGCAGAGGCCTGGCGTGGCTCTGTCCTGAGCAGCGGGGCTGGGAAAGGCGGCGCTTGGATCTCTGCCTCTGGGGCAGCAAAGGGGCCGGTGTTTCCTGCCTGCTGGCCTTCCCCTGGGCAGGAGCTATTGTGTTGGCAGGAGCTCCCTTCCTCTGGGCAGTGGGTCAGGAGCACAGCTGAGGCAGCCCCGCCCCGCGTGAGATCTCTGCACAATGTGGGGAGGCTCCAGCTCAGCTCTCCGTGCCCGCCCGCCAGGCCCCCCGACCCTGCTGCCTGCCCCCAGGCCCTGAGCTGAGACAGCCCGCTGCACCCCAGCACAGGAGATGCCTGGCCCTTTGTGGGCACGCTGCCTGTAACCCCTGCCTCCCTGAGACCCAGCCCAGCTTGGCGTTGGTACAGGAGCAGGGACCCGGTGCCCCCAGCTTCCTCCACCTGCCTGGCTCTGCAGACCTGCCTCCTTGGCTGCTGCTGACCTTGTCCCCACCCTGCCCTGGAGGAGCCCAGAGCTGGGAAATGTTGGAGTAATACCCACCCTTGACCCCACTGCAATGTGCCCACTTGCCACAGCACCCCTGGCCCTAGGGCATGCCAGCACCAGCACCTGCAGGCACATCTCACCCACCCCAAAGCTGCCCACAGCACCATGCACCCAGTCAACGCCGGCGCACACACTGCTCCTGGCCCCCACACTGCCCTCGGCTCTAGCCAAGCCTCATCCTGAGGCTGGTTGCTGAAGCTGGGGCCTGAGCATTTCCCTCCTGGGCTGCCAGCTCCCTGTCCCAACCCCTCGCCAGGAGCTCGGGCAGGCGCTCCGAAGACTGTGGCTATTTGGGCTCAGGTGCAGGTGAGGTATTTCAGCAGTGACCACCCCCCCCCACCCAGGGCGGACGTAGCCCGATGGCAGGGAACGGGGTATCTGGCGAGGCTGCCAGGGGTGGAAAACGTGGCCGTGGCACCGCAGGGGAGGGGAGCGCATTGAGGCGGGTGGGGGAATAGCACCAGTTGCCCTCGCTGCCCCCAGCGGGGGTGCAGAGCAGGAGGCGAATAGGGCTGTCAGTGCTAACGAACAAAAAAGGCAAAATGCTGAGAAGAAATGGGACTGGCCTGCTCCAGGGCACCAACACTTCCCCCCTGTGCCGTGCCGTGCCGTGCCGTGCCGTGCCGTGCCGTGCCGTGCTGCGGGGGACTGGGCACAGCCTGGCTGCCTCTGGGCTCTGTGCCCCAAGGCCTCCGCAAATGCACCGTGGGCTCAGCCCCCTCGGCGGGGGCAGGTGTCCTACGGCCCTACACTGTGGTCTCGTACTCCAGCAGCTCCTGGGAGGTGCCCATGGTGCGGTACTGCAGGCGCGGCGTGGCCGGAGACGAGTACTCCAGCGCCAGGATGGTCTTACGGAGCCGCCGGTCAATGAAATGAGCGTCCCAGGCCGGGTACTTCTTGCGGGGCAGGTCTATGCGGATGACGGGCCCTTCTGTCCGTGGGGTGCGGGCCACGGGCGTCGGGGGCACGCTGGGCCGGACCTGAAACACAGGCACGCAGCTGTCTCTGTCCCCCGGCACCCCCTCCCGCTCCCCCCCTGTAGTCCGCGGCAGGGAGCGCGGGGGGCTGGTGACCACGTCCGCGGGCGGCCCCGCGCAGGTGGCGGGTGCCTCGTGGAAGATGCAGCCCGTGGCCTGGGGGCCGAAGACGGGGCCGTTGGGGTGCAAGAGGCAGTAGTAGATGAACATGAAGAAGATGCCAAGGGCGAAGCTGGCCACCACGACGCAGACGATGAGCAAGGCGTTGAAGTCCGAGGTGGCCTCGCGGTTGTAGTAGAGGAACCAGAGGGTGGTGAGGGCCGCGTTCTCGGCCAGCGTGATGAAGTAGTAGATGGCCATGCGGTACCGGCTCCGGCCCTCCTTGACGTTGAACCAGCAGAAGATGTAGATGATGCCGACCACCATGTTGTAGATGATCTCCTCCCACTTGGACATGCAGAAGTCGGTCTCACCCTGGATAATCCAGAAGGTCATGATGCACCAGTGGGTGACGATGAAGATGCCGAAGTAGAGCTGGAACACGGAGGCGAAGAGCGCGAAGGCGATGGCGCGGGCGGCGATGGTGAAGAGGTGCCACAAGATCTGCACCACCGCCCCCTTGTAGGACATGGGCCGCTTGTCCTCCCGCGAGTCCCGCAGCACCTTCTGGTACGAGGCGATCATCCAGGCCAGCGACACTAGTGAGGCCGAGGCCGAGAGACCTGCCGGGCACAGAGCGAGACACAGGGAAGTCAGGGGGCCAAAGCGAGCGGGGCTGAGGGGTGGGAGAGAGAGGGGCAGCAGGGAGGGGAGACAGGAGAGAGGAGTTACCAGGCTGTGCCAGTGCCCCCAGCTCTGGACAGCACTGCTGGCACGGCCTGCTGCCCCTGCGGGGTTGAGAAGCTGCCCCAAGGGTGAGGCTCCGTCTGTGCAGCTGGACCCCACAGCTGGTAGCAGGGCTCCCTCCAGCCTGCCCTACCCCGCTGTCCCGCAGAGGCTTGGCCTGCAATGGGACGCATCCCCTGCCCCCAGGCTGCCTTCACCCTGGTTCTGCTTCATGGGACCTCAGGGGGGGAAGGGGGCGCTTACCCTGGAGGGGCTCGATGCTGTTCTGCTGCACCATGATGCTGAGCTGCAGCACGAGCTGGGGCGCGCTCTTCAGGAAGGTCTCCAGCAGCCGCAGCATGTTGATGTCGGCGCTCTCGAACATCATGCGCCAGTAGAAGTGGCGCCGCCGGTGCTCGGCCTGCCAGCGGCTCTGCAGCCCCAGGTACAGGGTGCGCAGGTACCTGCAGGCAAGGGAGGCAACAGTGCAGATCAGGGGCCAGCACTGGGGAGCCTGAGAGCCCATGCTGGGATTTGCTGGGCAGTCTGGTCCCTGCTGCGGCCTGGATGCACGAAGCTGGAAGCCAGCACGGAGGGCCAGGCCTGTGGCTGTGGGGGTGGCATAACTCTCCCCCCTGACCCTGCAGGGTAGCAGAGGGCAGGGGGCAGCGGTGCCGTGAGACAACATCTGTACAGTGCAGCACCGAGCTGCGTGGACCCCTGAGTGCTTGCACCGGGCTCTTCCCGTCGGAGCATGGGCCCGCTAGCTGCTGGGCAGGGCTATGCTAGTCTGCGCTGTACCCTGAAGGATGCTGGGGCAGGGGCAAGAGGGTTGCTGGGGCCACTGTGCCCTCTTGCCCGGGGGCAGTGGACTAGATGTGTCCTTGCTGAGGAATGTGGCCCTGTCTCATCCCGTCCTGCCGGCCTCCCTCCCCTCCGGCCAGAGATCCCCGGCCGCCTCGCCCACGTCACTGCTCTTGGCCCAGCTGGAGCGGAGCCCACCCCTCCTGCCCACCTCTCGCCATGCTGATCAGGCAGGAAGAGGGGAGCAGCTGGTCACACTGGGACCGGGGGAGGTGGCGGCAGGGCTCTGATGATGGAGCCAGGCCTTGGCCCTTGGCGCCGCTGGGGACACCATCACGTGGCTCAGGCCTGCCATCTGCTCGCCAGGCTGGGGTCAGCACGCTGGCCCAGGCTTTGCAAGCCTGGCTCACTGCAAGCGGGGCCTCCCTTTCCTTTCCTTCCCATCCTTTCCCTTCCCTTCCCTTCCCGGGGCCACCCAGCAGTGCTGGGCCTGCGCTAACCCTTCAGCAGCAGCCTAGGAAGAGGCGTGCAAGTCAACTCGTTGCAGCCTGGCATCTCCGGGAACAAAGATGTGAGCAGCCAAGGCTCGTGCTGCAACCCCTTGGAGGGGGAAAGCATCAGCCTGCACAGCCCCTTTCTCCCTGTCTACCCCAGGCCTCGCTGAGCGGTGACCACCCATTGGGAGCCCCCCTTCAGCAGAGCCCTGCCTGACGGCTTCCCCACCACCGTGCCCTGCTGCGGCATCCCTGTCTGGCTCACGGGTGCACCTGTAACCCTCTGCACCCACAGGCAGGGCCAGCCCCCTGCTAGGATCTTCCCGCTCCCTCCCAGGTACTAGATGGCTGCAAGGCCACAGACAACCATCTCCCCGGATGATATATGCTGCTCCCCTGCTTCTGTGGGGTGCTGCATGGAAGGGGGAGGCCGTCGCTCCGCTCCCACGCTGGGACACGGCATCCTGGAAGCCCCTAGCAAGGAGCAGCGGTGATGCCCCCGCAGTGGGCGGGGGGCTGGGCGATGCCCCTTGGCGCTGTGCACGGCCCAGTGGAGCGCAGCTCTGCTCCTGAACCCGCCTCACGTCACGGAGAGACAAACGACGGGGAAAACAGAAAGATGAAGCGAAAGGACACCAGCCTGTAAAGCTCCCTCCCAGCCCAGTAAAGCTGTCATGCAAACGGATGGCCTTTATATCAGAGCCGTAAAACGCTGTCACTTCACTCCATTAGCTGGCCGGGAGGAAGCCTTAGCCCAGCATTTCCAGCCCCTCCGTCAGCTCCGGGGGGCGGGGGTCAGCTCACTCCCACCGTGGAGGTGACCCCCCTCCCCCTGTGCCTGGGCCGGAGGTGACAATCGGGTCCCAATGTCACAAAGCCCCCAATTCCCACCGCAGACTCCAGCCCCAGCCCCATCCACTGCTCCCCGTGTTGCTTTCTTGGTGTGCAGAGCGTTGCCCTCCCAGCCAGATGCCTCCACGGGGCCTGTCTTCCTGCATGGTGTCACTTGGGTTGTCCAGGGCTGGTTCCCCCCTGCCACCATCCGCATCCGCCAGACACCCTGATGAAGAACCCGGGAGCCAGGAGGCAGGGAGGGGTGTCCATGGGCAGGCTGCGAGGCTGGACCTGAGCCCTCAGCCCAACCAGCCCTGAGGTCAGGACTGGCCTTGGAGGGGCTCCCCGCTGCCAGCTGACAGGGCTGCAGCCGCTCCCTGTGGTCCGGGCAAGAGGGGAGCCCAGGGGAGCGGGGCCCAGCTCTGGAATAGCAGGTAGAGACCTTTTTTTGGAGGGGGTGTTCTGGGGCCACAGAGGGAACTTGGGCCAGTGGGACGGTGGCAGCTGGTTGGAGGGGGAAGAAACAGCCCCACGGGGTGATCGGGGATGTGCCCGGGGCCCGTGAGGAGGCAGAGACCCAGCTGAGACAGAGCAGGAAGAGGGGGACGCCTGGAAGCAGCTGCTGGACCCGGGGAGGAGACGGGCAGAGCTGCCGGCACTCGGGGCAGGCGGGAGAGCAGGGAGTGGAGGAGAAAGGGGAGCAGAGGGGAAGCAGGCGTGGTGGAGACACGGACGGACATGGGCACGGGCACGGAGGGGCCGCAGGGCAGACGGAGCCCGCGGCCGTGGCGGAGCTGCCAGCCCTGGCTGCGGCGTTGCCAAGGACACTGACATGTGACAGGTATTGTTAATCCGGCACTTGCACGAGGCAGCGGAGAGGGGTGCAACGGGCTCCTCGCAGCGTCCAGACACCCCGGGTGTCTGCGCGGGACCGGCCCCGTTCCTTCCTCACCCGGGAAGGACGGGGAAGGGGCTGCGTGAGCCGGGAGCCAGGCCCCACCAGCACCCGGCCAGGCAGCCCAGGCCCCTCGGTGCCTGCTTGTGGCTCAGGGGGGGGTCGTGGGAGGCAGGGGAAGGATGAACCTGCGAGCAGTGGGGTAGGGGATTGGAGACCACCGCGTGTGCCTGGTGAGAGTGCGGAGGGGAGCCCCCGCTGAGCCCACCTGGCTGCCGCACCCTTGCCCAGGCCTGACCCAGCACCGCCCTCGGTGAGCGCAGCGGGAGTCCCAGCCTGACCCGACCGTCAGGATTTGGCCTGCCCAGGGGGCTCAGAGCCCTTGGCAAGCACCAGCTCAGCTCAGCACCCTCAATGGTAGAGCAGGAAAAAGGCCAGTGGAGCCTGACAGCCCCCACGGCAGGTCTCTGCAGCCCCCGGCATGCACCGAAGCCACAGGGGCAGCATCACAGGGGCCGGAGATCAGCAGGGTGCTCAGCTTCAAGGCATGACCCTGGCCCTGGAAGTCACAAGGCTGTGGGGATACTCAGGCCCTGGCAGGATTCAGCCCTGGGGGAGGCACGGGGGAGCTGGAGACGACAGGTGCCTGGTCTTTACCAGCAGTGGGATCTCCTGGGCGAGCCCTGGGTCACGAGAGGGCCTTCAAGGCCCCAGCACCGAGCAAAGCACTAGCGTCAGCAGACAAAGTCACTGTAATAATCCTGCTTCCAGGTTGTGAGGTGCTGATTACAGCCCAGGCCAGGACCCAGCAGCCAGTGTCGCGGCCTGGCCCCACTTCGCTTCTTCACATCAGGCCGGGTGCAGGCATCCGAGAAGGAGCAGTTCCCGCCGGCGCTCCCGGCAGCTCGTACCCACCACCCCAGCTAAAAGGGACTCCAAGCCAGGCTGAATCACTGGCCACTGGCTCTAGCAAGCTCCAGCAGCGACTGTCTCCACCCTAGGAGGGAAAGTCAGCACACGGGGAAACCGAGGCCAGAGGGAGAGAGGGTCAGGTGCTTCTGCTGCCAGCCCGGGACTTGGCCCTCACCCCTCTCTCTCAGCTGCTGACTTGCTGCGAGATAGCAAGGGGAGAACCTCCCCTTCCCAACTGCCTCCCACCCGAAAACCCCAGCCCCTGGCATGTGTGGCTGGATGGGAGCTCTGCCCAGGGTGCCAGGCCCTGGCAAGGGCAGGGAGATGATGCCATCTGCTCCAGCCCAGCTCCTCCCATTGCCATACAAAGGACGTGGGTAGCACACTCTGCCTCCAGCACCCCGTGCCAAGCTCTCCCTCCTCAGAGCCTCCGAGCAGCCCCCACTCTCCAAGCTGAAGGGATGTGGGCCAGACTCTCCCCTCACCAGCTGGACCTCAAGGAAGGATCCTGGGGAAAAGCTGACCAAGGTGGAAGCAGTCTCAGACCCTTGGCTGCAGCCCGTCAGATCCCAGCCTCCGCTGTGCTACTTGCCATACTCCTCTCGCTCCAAACCCCGGTGCTGCCCTGGGCAGACAGACAGAGACGAGCCAGGCAGGGCCGGGCTTGGCACCTCCAGAGCTCCTTCCGCAGCCCCTACCCTGAGGAGAGCCCAGGAAGGCCATGAGGAGCAGGGCGTGGGGGGAGGCCCGATGCCCGAGAGCCAACAGCAAAGCTCCCGTCTATGGAGACAAGAGACCCAGGAGGCCCCAGCCCACCCTCGGCTGTCCCGGCTCCCTGCCTCGTCTGTGCTGAGCCACCGACGGGGAGCTCACACGAGGGAAGAGGGCTGACAGACAGATCCACGGACACGAGGCGCCTCCACATCCGCTGGGCCTGGCTCTGGTGAAGCGGTGGGGATTTCCACCCCCCTCCAAGCCCGTGCAGGCGGGGGAGGCCCAGCCACCAGTGACCTTAGCCTCCCGCTGGAATCACACCCGCTAATTGGGCTTGTCATTGCAATGATCCCGCTGTCTGCAGCAGAACGGCCCCACGCGCACGCAGCTCCTGGCCCTCCCCTCGTGCAGCCCGCAGCTGCCGGGCACAGCTCATTACGGCAACAAAGGGGAAGGGGAGAAAGGGGAGGGGAGGCGCACATCTGCTCCACGCGGCCCCCCGGCTCTAGGACGCTCAACAAGTGACCTTGCCTCCCCCACCCCAGCCTCCGCTCCCATCCTCCCAGATCTCATTAGAACGAGATTTCAGCTCCCGTCAGCTTGGGCAAATGAGACGCTGGTGCTGATTTGTTCTGCGTCTGATCAGAGAGTTTGTGTTTCAACCCCAAGAAACATCCGCACTCGCGCTGACAGGCCGTGGCGAGGTTTGCATGAACCGAACACGGCTGCAGCTGCAGGAGGCACAAGGAATCAATTACTTTAAAAAAAAAAAAATCATTTAATCTTCCAAAACTGATGATCAAGCAGAAATCTACAGAGGATGCTCTTAGGGCTAATTACTACCTCCTTCATAGGAAAGAAGTCCAATGAAAACCACTGTAAAAAACGAATCTGAAGGGCTTGGACCATCGTGCTTCTCCTGGAGAGTCTGCTGAAAGGCTCGGTTTGTTGTCAAAAGCACAGCCCGCCCTTCGGTGGCTGGCGTGTCACGTTAGGCCGCGCGCCTCCACTACGGACCTGTTGAAACGCACGGTCTCATTTGCGAGGATCACCCACCGACAAGCCGCACAGCAAGTGACCAGCTAAAGACCCTCATTATTAGCCTGGTTCAGAGCAATATAAATAATCCACAACAGCACCAGCAGCTCATCCGCTCCTTCACCCGCCAGATCCGTCCTTAAGTTGTTCCAATTACTGACTCCAATTTTCGAGCGGTGGAACAAAACAGAACACAACAAAAAAAGCCCAGGCCCGGCTGCAACTAAATTCATTAATCATCATCCCAAGATGAAAAAGCCGGAGAGACCCGCTGATCTCCCCGTAATTGATACAGAGTACAATTTTCCTAAAAGGTAATTTGGGATATTATTCCGTAATCCTTTATTTAAACAAGGAGAAAATTGCTTTTCAGTTGCAGCCATTTTAATCCATTATACATCTTGCAAAGTCAAATAATTACAGGGAGCTCCGTGCGGCCCAGCCAGAATGATGTCATATCACCATGCTGATGAAAGGCTTCAGCCCCCACCCCCTCCGTGCTCACCCCGATCCCGAGGGTGACCAGGTGCAGCCCGAGTTTCAAGTTCGTGCTTTGCAGAGCCCTGGGCCAGCCCCTAAGAAGCCCAGTGCACTGGGAGAGGGACCGAATTCACAGCCGGGAGAACGGTGTGATTAGGGGATTAAAGGAATCTCTGCTTGTCTGAGCAGCTGGAACGGCTCTGCCTGGGCTGGAGCGCTGCTTGGGCCTGACCGAGCAGGGGCAGAAGGCGGTAGACCTGTATCCTGCCCCCAGCTGCACAAAGGAGCTCTGCCTGGGGGCAAGGGATGTGGCTCCAGTGTCAGGAGCAGGGATGGGTCTTTATCCTTTCCGGGAAGCTGCTGCCCCTTGCTTTATCAGCAAGGGAAGTGGAGGTTGGATATTAGGAAAAACTCCCTCACTAGGAGGGTGGTGAAGCACTGGAACAGGTTACCTCGAGATGTGGTGGAGTCTCCATCCTTGGAGGTGTTTAGGACCCTGACAGACAGAACCTTGGCTGGGATGATGTAGTTGGGGCTGGCCCTGCTTTGGACTAGATGTGACCTCCTGAGGCCCCTTCCAACTCGACTTTTCTATGATTATATGTTTCTTTCCCAGTTTAAACTGGGCCTTTATGGTATCAGCCTGCTGAGGGGGCCCGAGGAACATCCCTGGGATGCTTGGAGATCAAAGGAGGAGGGAAGGCACCAGAGACACGCCAAGCTTCTCTCGCATCAGTCATTCAGGCCTCACTGGGGAGCCACCTCCGAGCTGCCGTGTGGGGGCCCAGCACAATTACATGAAGCAGAACCAAGGGGGAAACCCCAGCTGCCTCGGAGCTGCAGCCCTGCGCCAGGGCACAGCAAGGCAGGGGGAAATCAAAGGCAACTGCAGGCAGTCAGGGTGACACGCACAGGGCCGTGTGGAGTCACGTTAATGGGACACAGATGAGCAAGCTGAGGGGAGCAGAGACCCCAGGGCACAGAGGGAAGATGGGATGGGGATCTCTGAGCAGGGGACTCTCTTCAGCATGAGACACAGGGCCTGTCCTGACTGCTAACAGCACGCCAACTGCATGCATGCAGCCAGCCCCCAATGCAAGCGGGGTGAGCAACGGGAGCTCAGAGGAGGCCAAGAAGCTGCCCACTGGGAAACCTCCCTCTTCTCCCCACCCAGCATCACGGAGGTGCAGAACCAGACCTGCTCTGAGCTAATCGGGCTGGCACCGCACACGTGTCTCTGGGCAGCCTGCATTGATTACATTCGCACACGCCCAAGCAACCGACTCCATCCACTGCAGGATGCCCACAACAATGAATTGGCAGGTCTGTTGTGAATGGGTGGATGACGGTGAACCTCCATGGCTTGCTACAGTGCTGAAACACTTTGCAAGAAAAGCCGTGGCACCTACAGCGTGCAATACCAGACTGCGCCCTCCAGTTGCTGCTGCAACAGATTTTGCAGGTGCAAAAAAAAAAATGCAGGCCCCAATTCCACAAGTGCAAACCGTGCCCATAGAAGAGAAGCCGCACCTCAGTGTTACACACACGGTGATTAACCAGAGCCACAGACCCAAGTCTGTGCTAACGCAGGGCCTAGGAAAATCCAGCATAAGTCTCCCCTCTGCACGCACCATTTATTCAACACTAATTCAACCCATCCTGGAAACTGCCACTGCCACCTGCAGCAAAGCCAGCTGCATAATGGGCTTAGCAACCTGCTTTTAACTGGTCACCAGAGCAAGCACCAAAGCTCAGGATTAGATGAAACCGATCCGCAGCCAGAAAATGGCTCGTCCAAGAGGTCAGTCCTGAGAGCTCCTGGTGGAATTGGCTTAGAGCTCAGCCCAGGCAGGGACACGGCAGGAGCAGGAGTGCAGAGCTCTGATGCCGGTGCCATCCTGGCTCAGCCGCTCCGAAGCGCGGGCCCAGGGACCGCTTGCCGGCAGTCTGCAGAGAGCCAGCTGGTCCCACGGCACTGGGCTGCCTCCTCCCTTCCACCTCCCACAGCACATTAAAGACAGGTTAACACATGACATATTTCCCTAATATCACTTTTCTATGTAAGCAGTGACTGCTGCTGTCACAGGGACGCTAGAGAACGGGGAGGGGAGCAGTCTGCTGGTGAAGGTTCAAGGGGGCAGACGGTCTTTCTGGCATGCTGGGCTCTACACTGTGAAAAAGAGATCCCCCCCCGGTACCCCCTCTTGCCATGTGACCGAGAGACAGGCATCCAGACAGGAAAACTGAGACCAGGCCCTGGACTGCAGAAGTAGCAGGGGGAACAGCACCAAAACATGGTCTAAAAGCATCGATTGCTAAGCATGTTGTGTCAGGAATGTGCCATTGTCTCCTCTTTCATTCCCAGCATTAATATCACTAGAAATAAGATCCATTACAGAGCTCCGCTCTTTCGCGCCGGGCTGCGTGCAGCCCAGGGAGGCAGAGTTGCAGGCTGTCTGAGCTGGAGAGAGGAAAGGGCAGCTCAATAGTCTGGCCCTAGTGCCAGGAAACCATCAGCTCTGAGTTCTGGAGAGCCCAGGGAGACGCAGGCAGCGGGGCTGAGCTCTGCTCCAAGCCCATCTGCTCTCTGACTGCTTGGTGCCTGCTCCTTTGGTAGGGAACAGACCCGTGACACAAAAGGGAAGGGGGAAAGGATGGCTTTGAACCGACGAGCAGCACCTCAAATTCAACTCTCCACCCACCCTGCACGACCTGTGGTCTCCCTGGCTTCATTGGGCTCACGGCACAGAACAGGGCCCTCAGAGCCCATGCAGTGCCCTGCAGGATGCTCTGAGCACCTCACAGGATCGGGCCCACCAGGAAGCGATGGCCAAGCCACGCATTTTCTATCTGAAGCAATAGCGGAGCAGGATGCTGCAGCAAAGGTCCAGCCCTGGCCTCCTCTGCTCGCTGCCCTGCCTGTGGACCAGGGCACCGCACGCACACTGGGGAGCAACTTGGCTGGGCTCCACATGCACTCTGCCGCTGATGGAAGCAGGCAGCAGCGGCTGGGCGTGCAGCAGTACGCTGGGGGGTGGGGGGAGCAATCCTCTCCTCCCCCTGGCGCCTGGGATCTGCTTCCTGTTCCCTTTTGCCATGAAAATGCTCAATGAACCGAGTATTGAGAAGCCAGCCCAGCCCAGGCAACACCCCACCACGTTCGGGCTCCAGCGCCACGTTAGCTACCGGGGGTGCCCCTTCTGCCTGGTCCTGACTCCCTTCCTCGCCCACAGATGGGAGTTTGGACCCTCCAGGACCTCCACTATTCAGAGCCCGGACACAGGCCCCTCGGGAAGCAGCCCAAGTCTCCATCCCCTTCCCCGCCAGCCCAGGTGCTGGAGAGGGTGGCTCCAGCCTCAACACAACCCACTGCTCACGAACTGTTGATGCCAAGGATCTGGTTACAGAGGGACGCAGCCCCTCGCCTACAAGCAGAGCTGAAGCCATGCTCTGCCCTGTGCCGCGGGGGTGCAAGCCGGGACAGGGCCGGCCGCTGCCCGGCAGAGCCCAAGTCCAGCTCCGGGATGAGGGGCAGGCGCCCTTCTGCCCTGCTCGGGCCGACCCGGAGCAACCGCGCTGCCCGGCCCAAGACAGAGGCTCCGCGCCACGCCTGGGAGCAGCGCCGCGGGGGGAA